ATATATCTTTGTTCACTTGATAAAGCAACTCCTGGTGTTGTTTGCAAAAAATATTATATTAGCAGTTATGAAGCAAATGGGAGTTATTTATAACACCAACAACAATAATTTCTCCAATGAACGCACAAGAAATACTTATATACATGCCCGCCCCCCAATTGAGAACCACGTATCATTCTGCATGATAAACAAAATTAACACATGTGATGACACGAAATTACCTATTATTTATGCATATCTTAAGTTGCATAAAGATCCCATTAAGCATAGGTTCATAACTGGTGCACACAATAGTAGCACCAAACTTTTAGCCAAAGAGTTGCATAATTTGTTCAGCTGTATTAGAAAAACACTTCATGAATTGCTGTAAGGTAGCCAAAGGAAGAAGCAATACTATAAAATCATACTGGTCCGTCAATTATATCAATATCAGTCACGAACATAATAACATAACTAGTAAGAACTTGAAGATATTTACTGCAGGTTTCTCAGACATGTTCACTAATTTAAATCATAATTCTGATTATTCGAAACATAAAAGAGCTACTAAGGTTTTTCCTTAGAAAATGCAAGTAAGAAAAATATATAGCAACCAATGGATTTAAAGTATTCTATACAGATAATAATGAGACAAAGAGGAAATACAAGTACTACCAAATAAATGATTTATTGTTTCTTACAGAATACTTATTAGATAACATTTATTGTGTTTTTAGGTAAGCAGATATATAAACAAATCAAGGTTGTACCACAAGGTTGGAATTTTAGTCCACTATTAGCGGATCTTACCCTTTTAATCATGAAATATAAGTATGCAAAAAAATATTAAGCACGATATTAAAGTATTGTATGAGCCTTATAGGTGTATGGACGACCTACTGATTATACATAATATTGATGTACAGAAAGTGGATACTAGGTTGACACATGTATACTACAATGTCTTAGAACTTAGTAAAACTCACAATAATGAAAAGTACAGCAATTGTCTAGATTTAACTTAGTTTTTCTGGTGACAAAATTATTACTGGACATTATAATAAGACAGATGATTTGTAGTCAATAGCTTCCCTCATAGTGACACTAATATGACACTAATATATCTACCAAGAATAAGGGCTCGGTTATACAGTCCTCATCATTGCGGACCGGTGGGGCGTGTCAGTGCGGCTGCGTTTGGCGCGGTGCCAAAGTCGTTCTGCACCAGTTGTTGAAGCGGGCAAGTGACATTACTGTATTATATCCTTCGTATTACTCGTTTTCTACCACTTTTTGTCGCATACGCGTTTCAAAAAAGGCTGAGAACGGCTTCAACAGTGTGCACACTCATACTGGCTGACACGCCCCACCGGTCCGCAATGATGAGGACTGTATATACAAAGATCCTTAGAGCAGCCAACACATGAACTTTGCTTGATACGTTTGCAGTCATTATTAATTATATTGACACTTTTATGAAACAAATATTCAAAAGAATTTATAATTGTCAACATCATTAAATGTATTTATGGGAATAAACTCATCATTTATAAATATGGGATGGAAATGAACATACGTGACATAATATTACTAGTCGAAAATATACTAGTTAGTGATTATATACCCATTTAGTTAAGCTACAGCCACAAAAAT